AGGCAGAGCTCGCAGCAATCTCGGAGTTTGTCTCTTGGGAAGATAACGGCTTCCATTTTTCACACATCCCTTTAGAACCTGTTCAAGTACACAGTGGGAAATCCTAGTGCACACAATTTTGTATTCTAATTTTTAAATTGCAGAATTTAGGAAATTATTTTATGCTATTTTTATTAACCACAACTGGCGATAAGCAACTCTAGTGTTTCTATATAGCTTCACTATTATCCTTTTAATGACTACGTTATCTTTCATTATTTTGCTTTCTCCTAATTTACTAAGCCTGCAGTAGGACACTTAGGTGGCTGTAATAAAGAACGCTGCCTTGAACACCTTTGAGGGTACAGCTTGTGGAAATGATTTATTCGTTACGGAAGGGGTTGCTCTAGTGTTGTGTGGGGAGGAGTGTGGCTTTAACACAGGGGCACGTGTGTCTATTTGTTTGATCTCACAGCCATAGAAAGGTGAGAGGCATAGAGCAAAGAGGCAGAATGTGGAGTTCTGGGTTCCAACCCCAGTTCTGTCACTTTGTAGGAAGGGGAGCATAGACATATGACATAACTTATCTGAGCCTCAGTTCCCTCATTTGTGCAAAGAACACAATGCAGCCCTTTCCAAGAGTGTGCCATGGCTCATGGTCTCACTGCCCGCAGGTCCCTGCTCCTATGGATGCCCCTCCTCAGAAAAGCCCTGGGACCTCTGTGCCCGAAAGCCTTCTCCATCACTTTGCCTGGCTCGATTTTCCTTCACAGCACTTATCCTCTCTTACTCAGCTAGGTGGCCAAAACAAAACGCCTCAGACGGGGGTCGGGGGGTGGGGGGTCTTAAGTAACAGAGACTTATTTCTCACAGCTCTGGAGGCTGGATGTCTAGGGTGGAGGTAGCAGCAGATCTGGTGTCTGATTGGAGTCCACTTCCTGGCCTATAGATGTCCCTCCAAGTGTGTCCTCACACGTTGGAGAGCAGAGAGGAAGCAGCTCTTGGAACACTTTTTTTTTTTTTTACAGAAAGGAAGGGAGAGAGGTAGGGAGTTAGAAACATTGATCAGCTGCCTCCTGCACACCCCCTACTGGGGATGTGCCCACAACCAAGGTACATGCCCTTGACTGGAATGGAACCTGGGACCCTTCAGTCCGCAGGCTGACGCTCTATCCACTGAGTCAAACTGGTTAGGGCTCTTGGGACTCTTATAAAGCCTCTAATCCCACCATGGGGCCTCCACCCTCATGACCACATCTATTCCTAATCGCCTCCCAAAGAACTCACCTAACACCATCACATTAAAGGGTTGAGTTTCAACATGCGAATTTTGGGGGGACAGAAACATTCAGTCCAAGACCTCATCACATGGCATATTACTTGTTTACTTGTCTATTTATTCACTTTTCTTTTCCCTCCAGTAGCACGTGAGCTACAGGAGGGCAAAGGCTCTGCCTAAATGCCTGTGCCTGGCACAGGCCTGGGGACACATTGCACCTGCACATACAGCCGCCTGTCTGTCTCTGGGAGGCCAAGGAGAGGCGGTGGAAGCACCGGCGTCCTGTGTTACTCTGTGAAGGTTGGAGGTAACATGATAGAGTTTGCATGTAGATGGTAATCTGGTTCCTCTTCCCATTGTGTGTCTGGTGGACAGCAAATCCTTGGAATTCTCTGAAAGTGTTTAGGGGACTAGAGGCAAGAGTGTAGCCAAGGTGACAGTGCTGAGGAGCGGCTGCCTGACAGCTGAGAGGAGCCACATGTACGTGAATACCTCGGAAGCACTTCCTCATGCCCTCCTCCTTAAAATGTATTTCATGGTCTAGTTTAACTTTTGTTTTTTACACACAGCTATACATCCATCTGCACAGTGTAAGGAACCACCCTCCCCTTCTGAATTACCAGAGGCATCACATTTCAATGGATTCTTTTACTATTTATCACCACATGCCTAAATAGCCCCCTCAGACTCCCTTTAGATTTCTGTTTGCTCCTGTGATGGACAATCCGGATTCACTCTCTCCCACCACACCCTGTCCTCCACCCCATACCCTTCCGGTGCCCCTTCCCTCCCTCCCAGAGTCCACTATAAACTTGGTTAGATCAACATCCATGTTTGCATGTTCATGTTTACATTACAAATGTTTGCATTATTGTCATTCTGTAAACGTTATTGGGAATGGAGGCTCCTAAAACTTTGCCTTTGTTTCACATCTTCTGTTTTCCCAGTATTTCATCATCACCTCATTTTTTCTTGATCAGTTTTCTATGTAGTTCTCTCTCTTCTATGCCCAAGCTCTCCCTTACTTGTTCAAATCTCCTCTCCATAGAGCAAATTAACCAAATATCCCATTAGTGTTACCTTCCTGAGGATGACTGTCCCCATCTGTCAGGTGAGGGTCCACCAGGAGCTGTAGGAGACCAGGCTGCTGGAGACAAAGACCAACAGTAGTTAGCATAATTATGCGAGAAGGCCACCGGAAGGCTAATGGACTTTGATCTTCAGCAGGGCTGAAAATCAGCATAATATTGCCCTGCTATTGGCCAAATGGCTGAAGACAATCCCCTAACCTGATAATCCTTTTATTGTTTACCAATCTTTACCATTGATATGCCTGTTTGCATTCCTGAAGGGCAAGTGTGTATTCAAGTAAATAAAAGCTAATGGGTCCAGGTTTCAGAGAGCCTCTCTGCTAGAGAAAGGTCTCCGCCTGGCTCCCATGCCTTCTAAATTTATATTTCTTGTCTAGTGTATTCATTTGTGCGTCAGCCCCTTCTCCAGACCTTGAACCCTAGCCGCAAATGGATGCAGCACTCACACCAAGCCAGTGAGGAAGCTAGAATTTGACTCAGGTTTTAACTGGGCCACTCCAGCTGCCATGCTAGGAACAGACTGAGGAGGGTGGCATTAGGGAGACCAGGAGGAGGCTATTTTAGTAATCTGGGTGTGAAACAAGGGTTTCCTAGGGTCCCCTGGGGTGGTTGTAGTAGAGATGGTGGGAAGTGACTGATTCTGAAAGATTTTGAAGGAAAGGCCAACAGTACTGGATGTGAGGTGGAAAGGAAGGAGAGGAAGCAGTATGACTGAGCACCAGGAATGAAGGATGAATGGGAAGGCTTAGGAAACTGTCTCAGTCCATGCGGCCTGCCGTAACAGACACTACAGACAGGGTGGCTCATAAACAACAGGCATTCCCTCCCCCCGCCCCACAGTTCCGGAGGCTGGAAGTCCAAGATCCAGGCGCTCGCAGATTCAGTGTCTGGTGAGAGCCCCTTCTTCCTAGATGGCCATCTTTTCTCCGTGTCCTCCTCACATGGCAGAGGGAACAAGGGAGCTCTGGGGTCTCTTTTATAAGGGCACTCATCCCATTCATGGCAGCTGTGCCCTCCTGACTTAAGCTCCTCCTAATACTATCACATTGGGGGGTAGATTTCAACATATGAATTTAAGGAGACACAAATATTCAGACCATCTATATATATAAAAGCCAAAGCGACCGAATGACTGAACGACCGAACGAGCAGTCAACCGGTTGCTATGACATGCACAGACCACAAGGGGGAAGATGCTCAACACAGGAGCTTCCCCCTGGTGGTCAGTGGGCTCCCACAGTGGGAGCGCCACTCTGCTGACCAATGGGCACCAGACACCGGGCTCGTGGCTAGTGAGCACAGCTGCGGCAATGCTACCAAGCTGCTGCGGCGGCAGGCACCCAAACCAGGCTCAGGCTCCTCTCTGGCCGCCTGCTGCTTCATGGGCCACTACATCCCCCGAGGGGTCTCAGATTGTGAGAGGGCACAGGCCATGCTGAGGAACCCCACCAGTGCACGAATCTGGGAACTGGGCCTCTAGTAAGACCATAATAGGGAAGATCCCGAGTTCAGGTGGAGCCACGTCAGGTGTTGGACTCTTTTGGACGTCCAAGTGAGATGTTGGGTGTACGGTTTAGGATCTTCAATAACCCCGTGTTCTGAAATATCCCAGTGCTATTTGCTCAGTTGCTATGGGCCCACTTTTCCTCACTGCACAAGGCACTCTGCAGCCCTCAACCCAAAAGCTCATGCCCCTTGGTTCTGCTAATTTTCTTAAATTTATTTAATGATTTCCTCCCCTCTGTCTTCTCTGCTTTCCCTTCCTAAAACTGCAGACCTGGACAGACCCATTTGCTTTTCTTTCCTATCCTGTTTCCCATCTTAGTCCTTTTGTTCTGTTTCTAGATGTTTCATCCCTTCTTTACTTGGGCTATTGCATACTTAATCTATAAGAGCTTCTTTATGCTGCTGGAATGTTCTTTCTTAGAGCATCTTGCTGATTTATAACAGAGAATCACACTCATTTCTTCTGCATGACACCTAGTGGTGTGGCAGCCAGGGTCCCACAAGTTCAAGTTTGGGTCCATGTTCAATGCCACAACTTTCCCTGTGATCCAGGTTTTTTTCTCCCAACAAAGCCATTCTCAGGCTCCTGACGAATCTCGGGGGCTCGCCAAGGACAGGTCAGCTGCCTCTTCAACAATCACCAGGGAAGAAGAGGGGCACAGAGAAAATATATGTGCTACAAACTGTATGTACGTGATTCTACAGATAATTTGTGTTGTTTTTACGACAGAGCTGTCAAAGCGTTATTTTTATTTTAGAGAAGAAAAAACACACACATTTCAGCAAACTGAATGGACTTTTGTGTCTGGCTGTAAACGTTTTCCTTTGCTGTACCTGAAGTTAAAACATCAGGATCCAGGTTCCAAGTCCTTTTCAAACTCCCGGGGCCAGCTGACATGCAGGCTCTCCCATCACAGGGAGGGCTGGGGGCCAAGATGCGTTTTCATCGATCCGCTGTAAGTTCTAATTTTGAGACGCTTTGGTCTAGAGCTGTGCTATCCAGTGAGATTCAAAGGAAATACCTCTCGCTCCCCAGGCCTCCCTCAGAGCTCACAGGGGACCTGGGGGAACGTTCGCAGCCGGAACCCGCCGCCGCGGCGCCGCGGCGCGCCGGAGGGATGCGCTTGGGCACCGGACGTGGGGTGCGCGAGCAGCTGCGGTTCCGGTTCCGACCCGGCGGGAGGAGGAGGAGCGGGAAACCGCGCTGGCAGAGGTAGAGCCCACTTAGCCGCCGCCCGTGCCCCGCCGCCTGCCGCGCCGTGTCCTCGAGTCCCCCCAGACCCACGGACATCCGCCGGTCCGTGGACGCTCGGGCTACTGGCTCCGCGTCCCCGCCCCTCCCCTTCCTCCTGTGACCCGGCAGACTGTCCTCTGCTTGACCGCAGGTGCCTGTCACGTGGAGGGACTCTGCCCTTCGCGGGGTGCTCGTGTGCCGGGTCCCTCCCAGGCAGTGGTCCCGGAAGGATGTTGGAGTTAGTGGAGTCCACGTTTAGCCATTGTTAGAGGAAAACTTGATCTGTTATGTCTAAAATCCACTTTCTGTTCTCAGTGGGCCTGCCTCGAGCAGGTGTATCTCTGAACAAACATAGCAATATGTAAGTGCCAGGTGTTTTGAAGGCCTTGTGAGCAGGCGACTTTCCGGAGAGAGGGGAGACCTTAAAAAGGAGGTGATGTTGAGCCGGGCTTTAAAGGATGAATAGGAGTTTGCCCAAAAGGGAAATGGAGAGAACTTACGATGTCGGAACGGGAATCGCCTGTTTGGGAAGTGGTTGATTCCCTCAGGAGGGCAGATGTTTGTGGTTGGGGTTAGGCATAGACTGATCAAGGGGCGACAAAGCTGGGCGGAGGAGCACAGGCATTCCCCGTGGGTTTCAGGGGGCCCGAGGCGGTTCCTGCGCCGAAACATGCCGGTCTAGTGACCTTTCCATAGTCTCTGCTGTGATCGTTGCAAAATGAGGCTTCCTGGCTCTCACCCCATATCCCAGAACCGGTCTTCAGGGCAGACTGAATTGGTGGATTGGACTGTGGGCCTGGGATAGCAGGCTTCCTGCCTCCAGGTGGCCTTTTAAAAATAGTATTTTTACTTGCTAATATGGATGGGGGTTTAAGTGTGTGTTTTTCCCTTTTGGTTTTTTGTATTTGAATGTAGTACTCATGAATGCAATGTGAATGTCTGACTTAAAAACACAACGTTGAAAACAACCTCCCCCAAACCGCAGGCATTGTGTTGAAGCAAATGTCCTCCACCACAGAGAGAGTGAAGTTCACCTTCATCAGGCAGCAGACAACAGGAAGTGCTGGGCTCTGCTTTAAACTCAGGGTCAGAGGGGTGAGAGGTTGGGGTGGTGTTAATCAGTCAGGTGCCATTTCATTCATTTTGAAACTAGCCACCTTCATTTGAATGCAAGTATCATTCTTATCAGGTAATTCTTGTCATGCAGCTCCATAGTGAGGATGGTGCAGCCACTTGCTCACCTTTGGTGTGTGCCAGGTCATTCTCACAGAACTCTGTGTGCAGGTCTTGTTATTAGTCTGTCTGTAGACGGGGCATTGAAGGCTTAAACAGGTGAAGAAAACTAGGGAGAAAGGAGGATGTTCCAGTCTGTGTCTGTGTTGACTCTGAAATCTGACCTCTTCACCAGAAGATGTGAACTTCCTGGTGTTGAGGGAGGGTTCTGAGAAGTCCATGTGCCCCAGTGGTCTGACTTGAGAATCTGGATGGTTAGAACACCCAGGGGTCTCTGCTGGGTCTCTGGATGGGCTCCTGCCTCCCAGAGGAACCTAAGAACAACGCATCGTCTGGGAGAAGGCCGCCCTGGCTCACCAGAATGCAGGTTTCTGTGCTTTCACATCAGTGCACGGCTGTCTAAGGTTGGTCAGGGTGCTAAGAGCAGTTTTATGAAGTTTGTTCATTGAAACAGAAAACCCATGGCCAACTTGCTTTTACTTAGTGGTAGCTATGCCTCCAGGGGTGGAGAGCCTCATGGCTAAAGGAGGCCTTGTGTAAGGTGGAGCTCTCTTCCTGGGGTCCAGAAAGGTCTGGACCTGGGGTGTTCAGGACACAGACCTCTTCCCTGAACCCATGTATTTTTTTGCTTGTTCAAAGCAGTCCCCGACCCCCGTGACTTTGAAGATTTTAGCTCTGTATTGAAAGAATTATGATGGAGTATTTCAGGGTCCCATACCTGAGGGACATAAAAGCTGTTTTTAAAGGGTGGTGACAGAATAAATTAGTGCAACCTCTCTGGAGGCTACTCTGGCAATATTTACCCAAATTAAAATTAAATCTTTTTGTTGTGAGGCTCATGGGGAGCACCGGGCAGGGTCACTTGTCAGCATCTGCTCCACAAACACCCAGATCCGACCACAGTTACAATTGGCCACCTAGGTCTCCTCTGCCTGTTTGCTTGCTGGCTCCTTCTCATCCTGAGCTCTAGCTATATTGCTCCCCCTAGGAGGGCCTGCCTGCAGGAGCACTCTGCTTCGAGGCCAGGACTCTGTCTGCCTGGCTCATGCCTGTCCCCATGCAGAACCCAACTAGGTATTGCCACCTCCCAGACACAAGAGATTTGAAGGCAGGCGATGCAGGGTGGGGGGCATCCAGGTCTCTTGCTGCCACAGGTGTGTGGCCTAATTGGTGCTCAGCATTAGCAAACCATGAATTTGAACTGCTTTTGTCAAAACTTTGTCATTGTCTGCGTAGACCTTTTATGAACCAGTAGCTTTAATTGAAAGAAGAATGCTGTTGCCCAGGCCAGATGGCTCCGTTGGTTCTAGTGTCGTTTCGTACACCACGAAGGTTGCAGGTTTGATGCCTGGTCAGGGCACATACCTAGGTTGTGGGTTCCGTTCCAGGTTAGGGTGTGTTTGGGAGGGAACTGATCGATGTTTCTCTTTCCTTTCCTCTTTCTCTAAAGTCAATAAAAAACATCCTTGGGTGAGGATTAAAAAGAAAAAAGAAGAATGCTGTTATCTCACTTTATTTACCTCTATCATTTTGAGAAATTAAAGAGCTATATAGACAGTTACAAACACCCTGTAGATCCACCATCCAGAGCACATTTTTTATTTCTTTTTTGTATAAAAGAAAAAAAATAATGCTGAAGTGGAAGCATTCCATTTAAAAAAATAAAAGACATTTAGGAGACTTTTAAAGTCTGATTACAAAAATCATACATGCCAATTGTAGAAAGATTGGAGAAAATTGAGAAGCACTAAGAAGAAAACAAAAGTCACCTGTAGCCCTGCAACCTTGTGACCATGTGGGTGTTTACTTTGAATCTTCTTTTCAGCTCTGGCCAGCCTTTTTCCCTTGGCAGTAGTGGGGGAGCCTCTCCCAGATAGCTTGTCCCACCCACCGTGGGGCTCTGGC